TTCGGCCGCAAATGTTGACAATTCTGGGTATAGTTTCAGCTATTCTTAAGCTATCATTGGTTCCCAACTTATAATTTGGTTCAAACAAAACGTGTGCATTTGAACCGCCGATACCAAAGTTGTTAACCCCTGCCAATCCTATGTCAAAATATATACGTGTTTAATAATACGAATATTATACAGTACTTGTGCACACAAATATACCAGGCTTATACGGGTACTTTTCCTTGATTGCCAGCAATGGTGGGAAATACTGAGCGATTTCATCCTTAATAGTGTTGAGGTTAATGTTCGGAGGAATGCATTCGTTTTCATACGATATCATCATTTTGATGACCGACGAGACCCCTGAACCGGCCTCTGCGTGACCCATATTGCTCTTCAACACCCCTATAGGCAATGGATCCGTACGTCCCGTAGACTTGCAATAAGTGTTGTAAATGGCTTTGATTTCTTGCGGATCTCCGGCCTGTAAATCGGAATTAATTAAAATGATAAGAAAAACCATATTTATATAAAAAACAAAATTATAAGCTTACAAGTTAGTATAGTAAACATTGAATACATTGTACACTAAAGACAATTGTGGGTTTCTAGAATGTATTCAAAACTACTTTAAACATGTGACTCTATTCTGCAAAACTGTTTTTGTAACTGCTTAATTATTTTAAACCTTTAACTTAAGTAAAAACCATTATTTTACTTTTGTGTTTTGTAAAATTAACTATTGTACCTGTATTATAGTATTTTAAAATGTTATAAACAATATAACATTGATTTCTTACAAAGGGTAACTCTGTTGTTAGTGTAACATAGGATGTTATTTTTCTATGTTTTAACTTTATTAAATGATACTTCATAACTGGTATAGCACATTATATTCTCAATATTATATGTGATTTAATCAAAATACTTATCATTATAAATAAGACAGAAATTATACTACTGTACATTATTAACCTTTGTATTAACTATAATATTTAGCAACAAATTATACCTTGGTGCCGGTGGCGTGGCACTCAAAATAGGTCATATCCCGTGGATCAATGTTGCAGTCCTCGTACGACGTCCTCATAAGCTGTTCGTGTGCTTCACTGGACGGGAAAAACATGCCTAAGAAAATTGAGTAGGGTATCAAATTACATAAAACGTGTGAGAATACTATTCATTTTGCACAATTATAAGCGGGGTTTGATAAGGTGCGTGGGGGTAGCATAGGGTGAGCTGGCTTACCCATCTTTTTGTGTCCGTCCACATTCATACGAGCACTGCGGACGTGAGCGTAGTTACGGCGCGCATCCCGGCGTCGCTGTAGGAATAGACAGCACACGGCCTCTGCTTTCACGAAACCGTCCGCCTCCTGGTCCAAGACGGCCGACACACCCCGGGGTGAACACACCGACAACTCCTGTTGGTATTGGTTTATGAACGGCTCGAACACCATATGAGTGCCGCACACTATAGCCGAATCGGTGTAGCCTAAGCATGGTCATATAAATAACGACTCATTTAGTTAAATCATCCCAGATATAATAAAAGTAGTTGGTATTTCATTTCTTTTACTGCTATTAACTTTATATTGCTAACTTATATTATCGATTTGATTCTTTAAGTTACGTTCGTAAAATTTGTCACATGTTTCGAGTAAAGCATGATATACTCATTGAAATTATTTAATAATTAGGAGGTTATTAACAATAATTTCAGGGTTCTCAAATGATTCATTTTAATAAAATAAAAAATATAAATAAATGTATTTTTGTTTATCGTATAATAAAATATCAAATTCGATAATATGTCCTTGCAAATAAATACTCTTTTCAAAAAATCAATGTTAATCGCTATTAGGAATCATTTATAACTTATCTTAAACTAGTTTACATTTGACTTATAAACCAAAAATATACTACTTTTGCCGACTAAATAATTGTATTATTTTAATTGTAAATAGTTTCAAATGGTTATTGTTTGCAAGCAATATCAAAATATTAATCTGTCTAAACAATGGTTATTCAAAAAATACCGAGTTTAAGGTCGTTGACGGCCAGACACATAGCAGTGAGACTGGCCGAGCAGGCGGTGTCCACTATCATCGACGGCCCCTTGAAGTCGTTGGCAAAGGATATACGGCTGGCGTAGAAGGTCTTCATGTTTGAGAGGTTCTGCAACATAATCGTCTGCAGGGACTCCCGGGAGTCCGGCTGTACGTCCTCCGGGTAGCCATCGGTCATGGCGTACTGCGACACACCCACGTACACCCCTGTCCTACTGCCACGTAATGTTTGCGGATTCAAGCCTTTCGGGTAATATAATTAATTTTAATATTATTTATGCATTTTACTAGTGATTTATTTTAAAAAATTTGCTATTTTATCAAGTTCAATTAAGGAAACAAATTCAAATATATTAGAAATTCTAAGTAAACTAGTAATTAAACTATTAAATTTTTTATTTTTGATATTGGCAACTATAAATAAGTTATGGAGAATCTAATAAATTTTAAGTTAACCACTACAAAATGTTACATGTATTACAGTGATTGTTAAAATAAATTTAATTGTATAATTTTATCTAGGTATGCAAATGATCAATTTGAAACGAGAACATACCGGCGTCACACATGGCCTCATACGATGTCTCCAAAAGCATGCGGGACTGGGGGTCGATCTCATCCACCATCTGATCCATGAGCCCAAAGAATGTCGAGTCAAATAATTTGTAGTCATCAATTTTTCCCATTCGGTTCGATATATCGTATAAACCTTTTTTGGACAGGGTCATGTAAATAATTTCGGGTTTTTATATTTATAATTATGAATTATTTGTTAAATAATCTAACCATATTAAATAATAATTATAATATTTATAGTATCATCAATTATGTGTAGATAATTAGTTAAAACTGTCAAGTTGGCAATACAGCATAGTATGAATAATTTCTATAAACTATGCATAAAAATTTAAAGTATATTGACACAAATGTTTATTTATTTTCATATTAAATAATCAATAATAGTAACATACATTTAAGAACAAATTATCAAAGTAATTAACTAGCAGTTTCTATAGGTAATTTATTATCGGATAACAATTAATTGAATATTTAAATTTAACAAAATTAGTTTTAATAATTTTAAAAATTTAATATTTTAATAATAAACTATCTAAATATTTCATTATTTCACAATTAATTACAATAATTTATTTTAAAATAGATTACAAGTGAATAAAAACTATGGATATCTTACCCATTGGCCATCGGCTGTCATCATCGGTAACCATATCGATGCCATCGAACAGATTCTTCGCGAACTCGTCGGTGTTGACCGCGAGGGGGAACCGACCGCTCATTCCCGACAATATTATATCGTCGGCCGACATGACTGTCCACTCGCTCTTAAGCTTACGACTTATTTATTAAAAACAAAATTTATTTATTTATTTACTATAAGAATAAAAGCTTTAAAACTTGTGCTAAAAACGGGTCGACTCTATACAGCAATTCTTTATAAGTGATATATTTATTAAAAACTGTAAAATAAAACTTTACTCAACGAATCAAAGTTTTATTTTAAACAAATATTTTTGATAAATCAATAATAAGTTGTTCAAGGAATATAAGATTTATTGGCGACAAAACTATATAAATCCTTATACTAGAGGTTTGTGGCTCATAGCCATGGCTTATATAGATTTTGGCGACAGGGCTCGTATTGTTTTTTCTATTCCCCAATTAATATGTGAAATGTTAATTCGTTTTTACAAATATCACATAGTTAGTTAAATCCGTATAAATCTATATAAATATGCAAATATTAAATACTACTTCGTTATGAAACTTGAAAATTTTTGTTTTATTAGACATCGGTATACGTAATAGAAAAATACTTGATTTACGCGCTTACAAGTCAATGGTAAGCAAGGTAGACATTTTTAAGAAATAATCTATAAGATACCGGTTTACACATGATTTTGTAATGTAAAAACATATCACAATTTTTAAAAAATGGTTTGTAATATAATATATTTTGGGTTCAGTCTGTCCACCTGAGCATCATATGACGTCAAGTCTTATTTGATTGAAATTCAATTATTAGCTAATAAGTGCCAGTTATAGCTATGTTTTTAACAATATATTTATTAATATGTTTGTAATTGATTTTTGATTTTATATTCAGTATCAAAATTAAATTTGCAAACAATCGTTCTTGTAATAGAAAATATAGATATACATTTTGAATCAAAATATAAAAATGTATAATTAAAAAACAATAAAAATAAAAGTGACAATAGTTGATTTTAGAGTTTTAATTAATTAAAACATAAATACAATAGTTTACTCTTTGTATTGCACATAACATTGATTTGATTGAGAAAATATATCCGTATATTTATGGAAAAGTTATCTTTCAGTGTATATATATATACGTGTGTGTGTGACAGAGAGAGAGAGAGAGAGAGAATACAGGAAC